TACTTTTCTTAGATCTAAAGGCATTTGTTGATTTATAAACTTTAGACTTTATCTAAACAAATATTCTCTTGGTCAAAAAAATGTATTTAAAATGATACATCATTTACGTTAAGTAATCGAAAATGAATTTTGATACTCTTTGTTGAATTTAAAGTCTTAATTCATTTGTTTACCTTTTACTAATTATTACTCAAAATAGGTGATTTCATTTGTATTCATAACATTTTTCTTTTGTTTCTAATAAAATTATGTTGAAAAGACAAGATTCAGTATATTGAATGGTTATTTGTTTTTACCAAAAAAAGAAATAAACTGAGTTACGGGAAAGGCACAAAAGGTTGGAAAATAGGTGGACAGTAATGTCAGAATCAGAAATTGGTCTCTGTTTTGACTACTCCCCCACAGTTTCACTCTGCCTACAAACTGCAACCTATACAAGTGTCCCTTTCTCTATTTAACATTAATATTAAAAATATGGGGTTGGCTAAAATATAAACATAGATAAATTGATAATATATATCTAAAAGCTTTTAAGTGCTAATTTAATAATTTTAAAACTTCATATGTTTTTATAATAATTATGTGTTTTTCATCCGAATGGCGTTTTAAAAGTTTTGATTTATATCACTCTATTGCTTTATTTGTTTGAGTTGATATGTTTAAAAGCTTTCAACAAGACCTTATAGGTTATAGATCCATCAAATAATTGATTTTTTTTTAATAAAAGGTGGTACATTTACAATTCCCATCGAATAAGATTTGGTTGAAGAACTCATATTCGCAATAACAGAGTTTTCAATTGCTTTTTTTCAATATGAATTAAAATAATAATAATAATAAAACACTTATCATAGATGCTCTAAGTTTTGTTACTATTTTATATTAACTAAACTAAAAATTACAATATTCAATTCTAATCTAAAATTGTCAAAACCTTTTTTGTTGTAATTAATATATATGGTCAAATCGTTCAATTTTTTTTTTTTTTTTAATAAATGATATAACCACTTTTAACTTTTAATTTGTGATAATATGAACAGGTGTGTGGTGAGTAGTTATGTCAAAAGTGTTAGGGAGTTGGCATGTGAGATATTGGAATTGATAGCCGAAGGGTTGGGGGTCCCACACTCTTTATTCAGCCACTTCGTCAGACACTTTGACAGTGACTCCCTTCTCAGGCTAAATCACTATCCACCTGTCACTCACTCCTTCCACCATGGCAACATTGGCTTCGGAGAGCACTCTGACCCTCAGATCATCACCCTTCTCAGATCCAACGATGCTCCTGGTCTTCAGATATCTCTCAGAAATGGTCTTTGGCTTCCTGTTTCACCTGACCCACATGCCTTCTGTGTCAATATCGGTGATATCTTGCAGGTTTCTTCTTCGTCTCATCTTATCTATAAATCCATCTATCCATCTATGGGTAGATACACCATGTTTGTTTCACAGAGTTAAAACTAGATAATAAAAGACTAGGGGTGACAAATCGAGTTCTTACTGTATATTTTTAACTGATTCGAACAATACAATAATTTTTATATAACACACATGACATAATATTGTATTTTGCTTTACCAATATGAAAATTGTTCAATTAAATCACGATAAATATAATTAATACGATAAATTTGAAAAATATAAAATAAAATAAACATTTAGTTTATTTAATTCATAATTAATCATATGAAACATGATAAACATATGATTATATCGTGTCAATTTCTAACATGAATACGACATGGCTTCGTATATTTTACATTTGATACAACCACGATGCGAACATGAATTTGAAATTTATCCAAATCCAATTTCATGCTGTCGTTATACAAGTAATATCTCGTGATACGAGTTATATAAGGTGATTGATATCGGTATCAAGTTTTGCAATTATAACATGCAAAGATTATTTTTTTCAAAAGAAAGTCTCCTTAGACATATAAAGAATCTTTTTAATAAATGCTTTTAGAATTTGTAGTTTGTAAATATTCATTGGAATATTAACATGCATATAAATATTTATATTAAAATATTCAGTAGTTAATAAATATCCTCCAAGTTAGGTAGATTCATATATTTATTCATAAATTAATAAATAGAAACGTTTAATAATAAGTTAATATAATAAATAAATACAGTAATAGAATAATGTATGTTATGCTGATTAGGATAGGAGTCCTTGCAAGTAAGTGTGCAGAATTAATTATTAAGTTGTGGGACGAATGGTGCTTTAGATATTTAAAGCGACTTTCTTTATATAAAGAAAATGTAAGGAATTAACGTGACATGTTGATGACCTACCATTCAGTCTCATAACTCAAGTTTGTAGGGCTATTTTTTAGATAATATTGAGATAAGAACGACATAACTTCTTTTTCACCATAGTGAGTCCCGGGTCCCATCTTCTTGTACGTTTTTGGGTGACAATAAAATTTATAACTTTTATCCTACTGTTATCGGTTTCGGTTTTGAACTAGTTTAGTTCAATGCAAACAACCGATGTATATCATTTTTAGTTTTATTTTTTTCTCGCATTGTGAATCATTTTTAGTTTTATTTTTTTCTCGCATTGTGAATATGCGTAGTATATATCATGTTCTATCTTATCATTATGATGATTGTTATCTTTTTGGATGTAGGCTATGACGAATGGAAGGTTTGTAAGTGTGAGGCATCGAGCCATGGCTAACTTGTTACCTAACCAATCTAGACTATCGATGGTTTTCTTTGGTGCACCCCCACCCGAAGCAACAATCGCTTGCCCACCACAACTACTCAAACGAAACAAGCCGATTTACAAAACTTTCACTTGGTCTGAGTACAAGTCGCATACCTATGCTCATCGACTAGGTGAAACTAGGCTTGATCATTTCAAGATTACTTAGGCAGAACAAAATGTTTGTTGTAAATCTTTTTTCTTTAGTTGCAATTTTTGTAGATCCGGAACAATGTTTGATTGTACTATGTAGGTCTCCTATTGTACATTGTTTTGGAATATTAGTTTCGACTTAAACATGTTTTTTCGGTCTAATGCATCATTTAAAATAGTTTATGTATTTTTACCATTTATCGATTAACATACTTAACTAATTTCTATGGTATATCATTAACACTATATTATTTCTAAAACCTAATCTTCACATTAATCTTTTGTTTTTTGAAACAATGCACCACGACTAGCAAGTAACTAAAACATGGACAGGATAAAATAGTATAGGATTACAAGGTTTTAGCTAGAAAAAATTAACCGAGCAAACCCAGTCATGCCACCTACAATTGTCCATTCTACATTTATGCTTATACCATCTATAAGTTAAGGATATTACTTATAAGATAAGGATATTTCAATGTCGGCAATCTACGTAGTAGTCTAGTTAGAGAGAAAATAAAAGTACACGAAAAAAACAACTAATTTTATACCTCCCCTTCCCCTTAATTGTTTCGTGTATCCCCTTAATTTGTATGAGTGGAAGAGTATATGTATTTTCATGATTTGACTATTTATATAACTAAGAAGATATATATAGGCATCCAAAAAAATACAATGTATGTTCTTCACTTTGATCGGCTTAATTATTATATTGTTGTAGCTTGTCTACTTCTCTTAGCTCCTCGCTAATGGGATAGTTTATTTATAAAAATTATTTTTCGTTTCAAGAAGAAAAAAAACCTATAAGACTGTTACTTTACAATCTATAATAGTATATGAGCCCTACATTAATAAAAAAAAATTATATAATGAATACTTGCCATTACAGCGATGGCCAGCACTTTTTATTATTATTAAAAAAATGTTAATGTTTTACTTATTTTAGATCATAGTAACTAAGTTATCGAATAATAAAAGGCTATTTTTTTATACACACCGATCTATCCCACACACCAATCTAACCTATTTTAACTTTTATCTGATTTTTTTTAACAGCTTTTTCTTATTTCAAGGATTTGTATCCAATGGGCAAGTATTATATAGAAAGCATTCAATTCAGATTTATTC